AGTTAGCAAAACCCATGCGGTGACGACTGCGATGACTGCTTGGCCATAGCTTGCGCATCTCGGCGGCCGCGCTGGCGCGCGCAACCTCGCGCGCAGAGCGGCCAGCTGGTTTGGCACAAGCGTGCACTTCAATGCGGGCAGGTGGCTCGAGCGGGTGCGCAGTCAGCATGATGATGTCGACACCAGCGGCAACGATGATAATAGTAGCGGTTGCGGTGGCGATGATGACGATGACGGCGGCAAGGCCAATGACGGCGCCGATGCTGGCAACACCGATGACGACGGTGGTGATGATGTCCATGTGTCGATAAGGAGGAAGGTGTTTGCGTGATGATGGCGGCAATTGCGGCGATTGCTGATGACGCTGACGTGATGCGGCGGCGGTGACGAGGATGGATGATGGGGGGGAAGTGCGCGCGCGCGGGAATCCAAAAACCCTGGCAAGATGTCTGTTGACAAACATTTGGTTGTTCATTCGTGTTTGAAGAGTTCTGATCTGAAATCCTTCGAATCCCAAGGCTGTGTAAGGATTTCAGCCTGCTTATGTGGCGGCGCGCGCGTGTGGCCTGCATGGATATGTTTGATACTGGTTCGTGCTGGGTCAACGCGAATGCACCGCGTGGTGAAAGAAAGATGCGGGTCCTGGGCGAGATTGCTGATATCATGTGGGCTTCCAGCGGTTTCAGCAAACATGCGTGGGCAGAGCATTTGCAATATTTGTGTTGTGCAGCCAGCGAAGTGTGTTTGTGTTGTTGTTGCTGGTACTGTCAGTGTTGTTGTTGCTGCTGTTGTTGCTGCTGCTTTTGTTGTTGAGTTCTCATTTCTAAGAATAAGTATTGTTGATCCCCCTTCTCTGGGGCACACTGTGCCTTTTCAAATGAAATGCCCTTCCCAGGGCTCGCGCCCGGCTTTTTTCAGGGAAGCTCTTGAGCATCATAATTAAACTTATGGCCCCCAGTTTGCAACAACAGCGGTTCCCGCATGCGAATTCCTCACAATTTATTGAAGGACCGCGCTCTCGCGCGGGACGTCCTCACAATTTATGTAGGAGTCGCGCTCTCCCGTGGGACTTCCTCGCAATTTATTTAAACGATGCGCCCTCGGCGCTCAGGCATCACGCTCTCGCTTTGGCATGTCTCACGGTTACTTGGGAATCGCGCTATCGCTCGAGACTTCCTCGCGATTCCGGCAAGACCCACGCTTCAACAATCCGCCTGCTCGAACTGGTCGCCTGGGCCCGCCTGCCCGACCCGCCCGCTATGGGTCTGCCCACCCGATCTGCCCGATTGGTTCTGGCACTTGTTTTCTGCTCCGTGCCCCCATCCTGCTAATTTCTCTCGTGCTCCATCCTTTTCCCTCCCCCTTCCATCCGACCTCTCTTCCCCTGAGGGGCTGCACTAAATGCACGTGGCAGGTAAGGAAGATATACCCCCAAGGGGGTACGATCGAAGACGACGAGGGCGGGTACCGAGGGTTTGGGGTATACGAATTGGATGGCTCGTGAGCAGATAGGAGCGAAGAGTCTTGAATTGGTTGTTGTTGTCGTTGTTGATATTGTTGTTGGTGGCGTTGAATTCTCACTTCTGAAGAATAGTTATTGTTGATCCCCCCACCGGTGCATACTGTTTTTCTCCATCAAAGTGTGCCCCTCGACGCTCGCACCCTGTTTTTTGACAGGGGAAGTATTCCTGCTCAAGCTGGGCCCCTGGCCCCTGGGTTACATTAGCAACGGTTCCCGCCTGAGACGTCCGTAGAATTTAGCCAGGACCCCCGCTCCCGCCCGAGACTTTCCTCGCATTTTATTCAGGAATCGCGCTCTCGCTTGGGACTTCCTTACAATTTATTAAGGAATCGTTCTCCCGGCGCTCTGGAGTCGCGCTCTCGCTGGAGACTTGCTTGCAACTTGCTGAAGAATGGCCTTGCGTTGGAATTTCTTGCAATTTGCCCAAGCGCCGCGCTCCCGACACCCAGGCACCCAGGAGTCGCGCCCGTTGTGGCCCCATGTGCGTGCCCTTCGTGGCCCCGCTGACGCCATGTGTGTCCCCCTCACTGTCCTACGTGGCCCAGTTGCTACCCTCAGTGGCCCCATAGTTGCATTCTGTGGCCCCGCATTATCTGCACTTCGTGGCCCCCGCTCGTTCGCGCTCCTCGTGGCCCCATACGCATTCCCTTCGTGTCCCCGCTGTCGCCCTTCGTGGCCTACTTCGTGCCCTTCGTGGCCCTGCTGTCGTTCTCTCTCGCTCTCGCTTTCGCTCGTCGTCGCCGTCGTCGTCGTCGCCGTCGTCTTCGACGTCGTCGTCGTCGTCGTCGTCGTCGTCGTCGTCGTCGTCGTCGTGGTCGGTCCCCTGTCCGTCCCTCTTGGGTCGGGTCGACGGTCCGCGGCCGCTCCGCCGATCAGCGCTGCCGCTGGCCAGGCCGACGGTCCGCGGCCGCCCCGCCGCTTGCCGGGGCCCGGCCTGCAGGGAAGAAAGGTATACCCCCCAAAAGGGGTTCGATCGAAGACGAGGAGGGCGGGTATCGAGGGTTTGGGAAATACGCATTATTGGACACTGGAGCATATAAGGACGAACAGTCTTAAGATTATCGTTGTTGTTGTTGCTGCTGGTGTTCTGGTTGTTTCCTATGATTTGACGTTGACATACTTGTACCCTTGGTGTGGTTGGTGTCTTTTCAAAATGTACGTGCGCGTGTCGACCTTGTCATTTTTGGCAGAACGGGTTATTGGACGACTGTCCTCTGCGATCAACGAGTGCGCGCGCGTAGTGTTCTTGACAAGGGTAAAGGGGGTGCGAAATCCAGCCTGCCTGGGATGGTATATTCTCATGTGGGGCATGAACGACGTGGCGGAACCATACGTACTTTGCAGCATCTCAGGGGACATCGATGAGTCTGCGCGGAGGGAGGGTGGGAAAGGATACTCTTCTTTTGAGAGGAGAACCTGCGCGGTGCAATCTGTGGTGTGAGCTGTACTATGTTAATGTTGCTCCCATCGCACTTAAGGACCACATCCCAGAAATAATTTCGAGCACCCAGAAAAGTGTCGAAAGAGTGTCGAAAGAGTATCGAAACACTGTCTCCCAGGGCCCGACACGTGAAAACCCTCAAGTTATGGGGTCTTTTCTTGGTGCTCGAAATTCATTCTGGTGATCAAGGCTAAAGTAGGTTGGAACATCATAATACTATGTGAGCCATGTGGTGTGAACTATGTGGTGCACCCAATCGTGCCCTGCAAGCGGACTCCGCTCCTCGGGGCGGGAGGCTCGGAAACGGCCGGGACGTTGAATCCAGGGGACCGGGACGTTCATAGCGTGTCGCGCCCAAGCCTGGTGGGCCAGAACCGGCGGAGCGACACGCTATCCTACAGTTCCCGACCGAATCCTGTGAAGCCAAATCCTGCGCAGCCACATCTGCCATCAAGCATGCGCAGAAACGCTTGCAGAGCGGGCGGAGTCCGCCTTGACGCCGCCCGCGGTCGTGATTGCTGCCGCGCAGCCGATCGCCGCCAGAACGCGGCGGGCCATGGCGCCGATGTCAGGGGCGTCTGGCGGGGAGCGTGGGGCCAGGCGTTTCGGTGCGATTTCCAGACATCCTTCGTCACGGAAATGTGGAGACGGTTGGCTTTTCCGCAATGGGACCGTCAAACAACAAATATCTGGGACAACAAACGGTCCCAGGGAAGTGGTCGAGAGCTCTGGTGCCCACGTCGCAACAAATCACGACGTCGGAGGTCTGGAACCTCGAGACACAAACAGCTGCGACGGCGACGACGGCGGCGGGGACGTAGACAAAATCACACTGGCGAGGAGGGGGAGGAGGGAGCATGAATACCAGGATGAGGAAGGAGGGATGCAATGGAGGAGGGCGGTACCTACATAATAAGGATGCAAGGGCGCTCTTCCTCCTACTCTTGCTCCGGCTCTTCCTCCTTTGTTTCCCCTCCTCTTCTCTCGCCCCTCCCCGTCGTCCATGGCGCCGCGATGGCTCGAAGCGTGGTTTCAGGAGCAGCACCAGGCTGTGAAACTACGCGGGCGCGAGCGCCCAATGGCGTCGCAGCCACTCATGCTCCTACACCTCATGGCGATCCCGCGAGACATCGCCGATAGACCTAGCCCGCCGGGCGTTTCAGACTGCGCAGAGGAGCGTGCGTAATCGGTTCCAGGTCATCTGCCCGTCTTCCCAGCTGCGCGCGTTAGAAGGCGAGTTGGTACAGCGCAGGGTATAATGGTGGTCTCCTGTGGCTTCGTGGGGCTTCATTCGGCTAGATGGGCGGTCCTCTCCGCCGAGTAGCACCACGCAGGGCGGAAGCATGGCCGATCGACCAGGGTGGCGACGACGGCGGCAAACATCTGCGGACGACAATCATCGTACCGCCACAAGGAAAGCTGAATACGAAATGAGACAGCTTTTCTGGCCACGGTTCGCTTTGGCCACGCTTGCGTTCCCCGACCTAGACCTATGGAACGGCCCGAAAACCAGAGCCCCTCCTGAATCCAAGGTGGTTTTCATTTCAGCGACTTGGCTGTACTATCAGACTGTCTGGGAGCTTGCGGCTTCTGCATGGCGAATCGGGAACGACGTCGCTGCTCCCGACGACTGCCGCCACCACTTCGGCTGGAAGGTGCTGCTGTCCGGCGCTCCTTCCAACACTTCAACACTGCTGAGGCCTGTCCGCCCAAGTTTTTGCTGTGGCCAGCCCCAAGGCGCAGTGAAGGCCCTAGAAGCAAATCACAAAGCTTCCGTCGTATGTTGCTCACGTCGCGAGAGGGTGTACGGTCAGGAGCTTTTGCTCAGCGTGTCGCCGCGGCGGCCCGGCGGCACGCCGTACCTTGCGAGCGGATAGCGTGTAACTTCGTTTCGCGGGATGGGAGGCTGAGAAACGCTGAGGACGTTGATGCCTGGGGAATGGGGAATGGATGGCGTGTCGCGCCGAAGCGACACGCTAGCCAGCAGTTTCCGACCGCAGGTCGTGCCCAGCACCCCTCCCCCCTCCCCAGCGGCGCCTTCGGGCTGAGCAGGTCCACCCTGGGAGGGGACGGGGCTTGGCGACCGGCGCAAAGCTGGAGAGGAGTGTGGGAGGACGAGATGGGGGAGCAAGACTCAAGAAGTGGCGAGACCCGCACGTGGTGGCCAGGTCCAAGGAGGGGAAGAAAGGGGCGGGGAGAAGCACGGCGAGGAGGAAAAGGCAGCCAAAGGGGGAGGAGGATCTCCTGAAGTTCCTCGGACCCCCCCGGAGGTTTGGAAGAGGAGGAAGAAGAGGAGGAGGAGGATGTGAGGAGGAGGAGGAGGCTGAGGAGGAGGAGGGGGCTTAGAAGGGAGGCGGGAGGGAGGAGACACCACAAACATACAATATTAATCAACGATGCTGCAGTACATCCTCCCGTTCCTAGTCTCCTCATCAGTTATCCCTACAGATACGGCTTGCACCTCCTCAAAAGTTGAACATCCCATGGACGTGCTGTTCAATCTTTCGAGCTTCAAGGAATGCCTAGAGGCAAGACCTCACCGAACAAAGAACTCAATGGAAGAGCCGCCTCCCACCCGTATAGGCTTTGGAAGCTTTCAAGATAGCATTGCGCTCCGCTCAGACGACAGTCCATGTTTGAAAAAGACACGCCATCGATCGATGTAGAACTTGGAAACTATTTGAGACCAGTGTACAACGCAACATGTCGTACATCACCCGCCCTCCATCTGCGTAGCTGCTAAAATATGAAAGGGCGAACGTGCGAATCGCCGAGTCGAAAACAAAAGTCCAAAACAGCCCAAGGCGGTCCTGCCCTGGCCTCCCGTCTTCCCGTGGACTGCTTCCCCCCTGACTTCCGAGGACTTTCCCCAAGACTCCTTGCCGACGCCTGCCAGACGGCGCTGTCTAGGAAGCTCCTGGGAAGGGGGGGCGGGAGGCGCAAGCGCATGGGAGATTTTTCAGTATCCTCGATGGACCCTAATCGCGCTGCGATGGCGGAACAAAAGGGGGAAGAGGTGACAATGACACCCCTTTTTCGGGTGGCGGTTCCTGGGGCCCTGGCTTTGGGCCCGATCCCTCCTGCTCCTCCGCATCCTGCTCCGAGCTACAAGACAGATACAAAAACGCTTGGATCTAAGTAGCGTGTGAAAGCGACTTCCCACTGAGACGGGGACCTGTAGGCGAAGGGACGCTGAAGTCTGAAGACAACCCCGGAGGAGGTGTATCCCGTGGGCGTCTCATGGCACCATCCCCTATATCAGGAGGTTGAGGGGGCAGTGGATGGGGAACACAACGTCGAATCGACAAGAGGCGAGGTGGATCATTGGCATGGAGGAAACGGGTCCCGATGGAAAGCCGCTTCTTGCCACCCCCGGGGCAGAGGGGGCGGCCCCCAGAAGCCGCAAACAGCGAAGCGCCTCAGGACACACGAGCGACGCAGAGAATCGGGTCTTACGCGAGCTGGCACAGTGACCTCGCGCTGCGGCTGCTGCGGGCCGCCGGTGCGCCACTCCGCGCGGGAACGCGGGGTGCCCACTCGCGCGACCCTGCGCGGCCAGCATGCGCGCGAACGTCGGCGCACGCGGCGGCTGCCTGCGCTGCTCGCCGTTCCCTCGGGACCCCCCAGAGAGGCCTCCTGGATGAGGTCGGAGCAGACTGGGTCGGAGGACCGCGCCGCATCGCACGGGCGATGCATCGACGCCGTCGACGATGCACACGCGACGCGGGCGTGGAGAGAATCGGGCTCCCCATCGAGACGCATCGCCGATGCATCGGCGACGCGGCGCGATCCTCCGACCCCGTTTGGGAAACCCGCCCTCCGTGGCGAGGCCCGGAGGTGCGGCCGAGCCTCGGCCAGGCGCTCCAGCGGCGGCACGACGCCGAGCGCGGCCTGCACGCGGCGGGGCGAGGGCCAGGCGTCCGACGCCGCGGCTGTCTCGCAGCGCAGCTCGGCTCCCCAGGAGGCGACCCGCTTCGGAGTCCGGATCGATGTCTGCCTCTTTTTTTTGTTTGCCAGTCCCGGGGTCGGCCCCCCGGCGGGACCCAGGAGGAGGAGGGTGATGATGATGATGATGATGCTGATGATGATGATGATGATGATGAGGAGGAGGAGGAGGAGGAGGAGGAGGAGGAGGAGGAGGGGGAGGAGGCTCCCCTGCCCTTCGTGGCGGGGCCCGGACGTGCGGCCGAGCCTCGGCCGGGTGCTCCGGCGGCGGCACGGCGCCGAGGGGGCGCCCGCACGCGGAGCGGGCGCCCGGCACCGTGGCCGTTCCGCAGCGCGGCTCGGCTCGCTGGAGGCGACCGGCTTCTCATTCTCTTGCACGGCTGTGTTCATTTTCGCCGTCGCTCGCTCGTTCGCTCGAGCATCGACCCGCGAGGCCTCCTCCTCCTCCTCCTCCTCCCTCCTCCTCCTCCTCCCTCCTCCTCCTACCTCCTACCTCCTACCTCCTCCTCCTCCTCCTCCTCCTCCTCCTCCTCTTCCTCTGACCTTCCAGAGAGCTACAGTCGGGGCGTTCGCCGTCGCTCGCTCGTTCGCTCGCCGCCTCCCGGCCCACCCTCAGGGGTCGAGCGAGAGAGTGTTTCTCGTGTTCGCTTCGCTTTTGTTTTCCTGCGTCCTGTCTCCATCCTCCCTCTGCTGCGAAACGAAAAATCAAACTGAAAACGGTCCACGAGCACTCCAAAGCCGCCCTGCCCCAACCATCTCATGATGGTCATGGATGGCTCCAAAGAAGGCACCAGAGTCAGCCCCGAGACGCCCTGCCTCGCTTCTCCTGGCCCTCGCCCTCCCCCGTGCAAGGGCCAGGGCACGCGTGCCACCGTGGTCCCGGGCTCGGCAATGGCCCCCAGAGACCGAAAACGGCCCAAGCACCCCGTCGTCATTCGTGCGCGACGCGAGGATGCCTGTGCGGTAGGCCAAGCCTGGAGGCGAGAAAGAGTGGACGGAGGGGTGGCCCTCTGCGCCACGCTTCGCCGGATTACGTACCAGAGGGCATGTGGGGGAGGATGAGAATGAGGATGAGGATGAGGAAGAGGAAGAGGAGGAGGAGGAGGAGGAGGAGGAGGAGGAGGAGGAGGGGGAGGGAGAGGAGGAGGAGGACGAGGAGGAGGGGTCGGGGGCGGGGGAGGAGGAGAAGGAGGAGGGGGAGAAGGAGGAGGAGGAGAAGGAGGAGGAGAAGAAGGAGGAGGAGGAGGAGGAGAAGGAGGATTGGCGTCCGCACAAGGGAGTGGCGCCAAGGGTGGCGGTCTTTTGAACAATTGGACCCGCTTTTTATGTTCCAAGGAACAGACAGCCGCCCCTGGAGGCCGACGTTGATGAAACAGGCCTCTATTGAACAAACAGGTTCCTTAGCATGTATAGGTTCCCTCACGGCGGGACCACGCGAGCGTCGTCGTCATCGACCCCGTCATCAACCACTAGAAGCCTCCAAAATGGGCTCCGAGTACATAGGTGCGGTTAGAGAGTCACGCCGCATCGCGTAGCGCCGTTGGCGCGGAGAAGACCCGACTCCATATCGAGCCGCATCGCCGATGCATCGGCGATGCGGCGCGATCCTCCGACCCCACCTATCCGGACCCCATCTGGAAGGCCCAGGACCACACTGCACCCGTCGCCGCGCTGTCGGCGGCGCCGTCGACATCGTTGGGAAAACCAAAAGGTATCGCTACTCCCCGGACCTCTTCCTGGGTGCTCTCTGAACAGAATTTCGTCAGGATTTCAGCGGTGGTGACGAGGGCCTCCCAGGAGACCCCAAAACCGCAAAGTAGGGAAGGGTAGCGGTGTGGGTACCTCTTCCTCTGTCGTCGTCAACCGCGGCAGCGTCGCTGCCGCTGGCGGCAGCGGTGGGCCTCCTCCGGGCGGCGGCCGCCCTCCGCGGCGGCGTCCTCGGCGGGCCGTGGCGCAGGCTGCGAGGCGGCCTCTCGGGGAGACGCGGCGTTTGCCGCTCCTCGGCCTCGTTTTGTCTTGCTCCTGGGGCACCGCACGTGTGACACGGACGGGGAGGAGAAGGAGGAGGAGGAGGAGGAGGAGGAGGAGGAGGAGGAGGTTAGAAAGTAAAGCGAAAAAAAGGTACGAGCGACGCTTGCATGTAATACGGATGTAGAGAAATGCGTCTGAAAAGACTGTAGCGCGAGCGCGGCAAGGCAGCTGCAGCCCGCCATCTAACTGCTATGCTACCGTTCGAATCTGGTGGTCAAGCGGGTCCGTCGTGTCTCGCTGGTAGCCCGAACGCCAACCGTTTGGAACACCAACAATTCACAATGGACATGCTGCGCGTGCATAATTCGGTACACTCACCTGCCCTGGTACTGGCCCTAGATTGTGGCTTCGCGAACGCAGTCCCGCAGTCTAGGGTCGGGAGCCAAAGCGATCGAATGCAACCAGCTCCCCACACACGAACTACTGTTAGTAATACGTAGCTGTACGAGCAGCAGACGATTCGTCAGAGCAAACGAAACGGCCCACTCATTCACCTGCTGCCTCCCGAACGTAGTTCGACATGACAACTCATCACTGATGAGCGTCTGCATTTGCCGCGAGGACACAATTCGCAATGACCGGGTCGCAGCTTCTTATTTGTTCCCGTGTCGAACTGTATTGCAACCGGAGCGCTTGTAGTAAATAGCTGGTGGCCGTACCGCATTCGCGAACACAGTCCGCAATCTGCGACCTTGAAGGCGCATTCGCAAACAGTTCGGGAGATGCAGCGACAGATGGTTTAATCAGCGGTCTCGCCGATCTCCTTGTTCAGGTGGCTATGATGTGAACACGGGACGGTATTCTTGAACTTCTTTCAGCTTGAGGATGTTCAGGTCGTAGCCGATGTTGCCACCCACGGTGTTCAAAATCAGCTCTCGCCCGATGCTTCGATCGTCATGGGGTCGGCGCGCACGTCGCAGGATGTCGTCCAACTGTTCGGTGCGTCGCTGGTCTGACAGCCGCCAGAGATGCCCGGCCATGCGGTTCTCCGATGGTGCACGAACATGGTCCATGGTCGGAGCCGAGCATGCGGACATGCCGTCGAACATATGAGCTCGGCTGGCATGGCATCGCCCCCCTCTTCCCTCAGCCTCCGGATCTCCTCGGCTGAGGCAGGTCCACGTATCATCTCGTGCAGCGTCAGGAGGTGGGCCTGAAGTCGATAGGATGCTCCGCAGGCTGCGAGCGGCTCTGGGCCGAATGAAGATCTACGAGCGAACTTGTGTAATCGGCTTACAGGGTCGATTCGGTGGCAAATTTTCTTCCCGGTCTTGCGGCCTTTACCTCGACGCATACACACGGCGCCTCTCATGCCGCATCCTGTCTCTTCCTCGCACTAGAAGGAGCCGTCGCTGTGCGCGCAGCGCCGGCCAGCACGCTCCATTGCTCTGCGTGTGATGCGCGCCTTGATCTGCTGCGCGGCCAGAACAATGTAATTCAGCTGCGTAGCGCACCCGGGGAGCAGCTGGTTTTTGACCCTCTGCAGCGTGACAACGCACGCCGCGACGCGGCGCTGTGGGGGCAGCGCGTAGGCAGCCGCTCCGAGATGAGAGACGAAGAGGTCTGGTAGTAGACCTCCCAGCCTTCGCCTTGACCAAAAACCCGTGCCTGATGGGGGTCAGCGAGTCGCTGCACTTGTCCCGGTCGAACGTCGCTGCGCCGTCGGCATTGCGGGGCTAATGGACGCCGCAATTGGCGAAACGGTCGTAGTCCGGCGCCATTTCGCCCTAGGCGATCTCGATGTGGCCGTTCAGCTGGTCTACGTGCCCCTGGCGTCTGGTTTTCTTCAAGTCGTCGACGTGCCTGGGCGGCATGAGCACTAGCTCTGAGCCGCCGGCGCCATACGTGCCGGGCGCCTCGAGTTTTACCCCGAGCTCCAGGTCGCGCCGCGTCGGCTCGGCGCTGCACTCGGGTGGGCGCGTGCCCCTGGCGAGCTCCATTGAGACCGCCCTGAGCGCATCCTAGCAGCCCGTGAACAGCTTGACGCTGCGCAGGCACTCGGTCCGCTCGTCGAAGACTCGCGGCCTGGAATCTGCCCGAGGATGGCAGCGCTGCAGGGCGGCAGGGTGAAGTTCACTTCCCTTAGTGCTTCGCCCTGCTCATGCATCTCGGCATAGGTGCAGGAACGCTTTCTCGACGCCCGCGGCGACGTGTGCCCAATCCGGGCGACGAGGCGCTTCTGCGGACAGAATGCGCTGGTGCGCGCGCGCTTCGCAGCGCTGGGGAATGTCTCCAGGGCTCGGGCGTCCATGTCACGGAAGCCCCTCAGCGCCATGTGGCGCCAAATGATCCTGGCGGTCTTGCCGTCCGGCCCCTCCGCTGCTTCCACTTGGACACGCGCCTAGAGCCCATGACGTTCGGAGCGCCCTTGGGAGGTCGTCGCTCAAAACGCTTGCGCTTGACCCAGATGGTGAGCTCCTCGAGAATGGCTGCAGCCATCTTCTTGGCCACCCTCGACACCTCCTCTTTGGTTAGGAGATCTGCGTCACGCTTGATGGCGGCGGCTATGGCAGCCGCGTAGACCTTACGCACGGCTGTTGTGGACGCGCCGGCAACCTAGTTGCCCTCGTGGCAGCTAGACAAGGCTTCTCGCACTCCAGGGTCCAGGTGCAATTCCACGCGTGGACCTTCTTCACCCTCCCCCTCTAGGCTGGGCTGGTGCCATAGGTGCCAGAACCAACCTGCCAGAGTCTGCTGCGCGGGTCGGCAGCGCAGTTGCCGGGCCTGCCGCGGCACGATCTGCGCCGATGAAGCGGGAGTCGGCGATGATGTCGGCTGGGCCGCGGCACGCCAGTCAATGCACCAACTGAGTGTCAGTGTTCTGCATGAGCTGTAGTTGGCATGCCTGGCGCAAGATGTGGCGGCGCTGCAGGCGTGCAAACCGCGACGCGGGGTGCAGCGGGTGCGGCAGCTGGCGCAGGAGCGCAGGAGGTGGGTTAGTTGGGGGTCCTGTCCAACTCTGTGCGGCCCGTCGTCGCAGGACGTCCTGTTGTCTTGGGAGCTCTACGGCAAGCGGGGTGCTGTGGAGCTCGTCGAGACGTCGTCCTTGCGCGTGGTCGAATGTGGAGCCTACTCCGCGTTCGGATCGCACGTCGCTGAACATCCAGGTGTCGTGGCCGGCGAACCATATGGCCACCCTCCCATATGGCTGGCTCGCGTCAATGGCGACGGGCTGGTTGAAGAGAGCCAGATTGTTGGGGGACTCTGGCATCGGTGGTTGCCACGTGGAGCTCGACCTATATGGCGCGCTGATGCCAAGTCCTGAGACTGATGGCGCTTCTCCCCCGGGTAGCGCCCGGGAAGCGCCCGAGACGCCCCCAGAGGGTTCCAAGAGGACTTCGAAACGCCCCGGATACATTGCAATCATTGGCGTCGTTATGGTTTTCGGACGATTTTGGCGGTACCGCCTTCTTGGGCCGCCGACCGCCGAGGACGGTTGAAGAGGCCAGCAAGATCGGCCCAAGCCAGCCCAAGGCAGCTCCAAACGGGCCTGGGACTTTTGTGCTTGGGCACTCCTGCATTCCGTCAGGCCTCCTGGCGGCCTCCTAGGGACCCTCTGCAACCCTGTTAACCTGTCTGGGCGCCTCTCGAAACTCTGCTGCAGCCCTTGCAATACCACCAACCAATAGTGATGCGAAATGGGCCGGCGGAGTGAACGAAACGATGAACTAAGCGCAGGTCCCATGCAGGACCTGCTGAGGAACGCTTCTCCCCGCGTGCACCTGGGTAAACGCACGCGTATAGGGGAGCACCCGCACCTTACCTTTGATGCGGGTGGCCTCCTTCAGGCTGCCATTCCGAAAGGAAATGCAGCAGCATGATGCGTCACGTTGCAGACAGCAATGCCCCCGACGGCCACCAGCACGGCACCAGACCACGCCGCTGTGTAGTGAAGTAGCGGCGCCGTGGGGCAAGATGCCCAAGGACTGTCTTATCGGGAACGCGCCATGGGATATCAGTCCGTACAGCCGTGCCACGCCACGAACCAGTTTGACGACGAAATTGGGCTGGTGGGCCCAGTGAAAGTTTCGCCAAGGATCGAGCCACCCGAGCGGCTGACGACGACGATGATGATACCGGAATCGGAGCGACAACGCTTGGTATCGCACACTCTCTCGACTTCAACGGATGTGTAGATGATATGCAGCGCACCTTCATCATCCACGCAACTCAGGCAGAGTTGACAACTTCTGAGGGCTTCAGCAACCCAATTCCTATCGAGACGCATGTGCACATTACTGTTGCTTTACAAGAAGAGTTTCGGACAATTTCGTGCCAGAGCAATTCCGCCCCCCAGGGGGGATCCCCCACGACACGAGGCTTCAGCCAAGGCGCTGACACCGTGACATTTGCATGGACCCCCTGCACAGGAGCAGGGGGGGGAGAATTCGTTACTTTTCTCGCCCCCTGTCACGTCCTGCCACTACTTCCCCATCAGACGTGGACCCCCGCACCATGAAGATTATGCCGACAGGCGCAGCCCCCCTTGCACCCTGGTGCCAGTCTACCGCGAGGACGACGAGCAGGAGGACGACGACGCTCATGGGCGACGACGACGCCAGCGACGACCACCACGACCTTCAGAAGTCTCTGGAGGTCTCTTCGGGTCCCCCGAAGCCTCTGGAGGTCTCTGGAGGCCTCCAAAGGTCCCTGGAGGCCGTGGAGACGGCGACCCAAAGATGGCGAATAGCGCCCAAGACCCTCGGTCCCAGACCTCTGGCGGCTCGACATGTTCGAGTCTCGGGGGCCCCAATCGTCTCGACCCCTTTTTCCTCCAGGCTGGCTCTCCATCCCGAGCCGTTTGCGGAAGGTCCCAGGGCCTGAAAAAAGCGCCCAGAGGCTCCAGGGGCCGCTTCTGGGCCCCAAGACAACGGAAAGGCGGCTCGGGATCGGAGGCCCGAACGCGCAGAAACGCTGGGCACACTCCAGACGTTTCAACCTCTGGAGGTCGGGGCCCTCCTCGATCCAGGGCCTCGACTGTCGAGGGAGGTTGAGGGGGAACGTCAGGGGGGACAGACTCAAGGGGGGGAAACATCGAGCTGGCATCGGCGATACATCGCCGACAGATCGGCGATGGGCCCCCAATTGCAACTCCGGACGTTCCTGGGCGGGGTCGGCCATCGGGCACCCTTCTCGGCGATCAATGAGCGATCGGGGAATCGATGCGTCCGCCCCTGAGCCTATCTTGGGAACCTCGACGCCCCAATCGCCCGAGACATTCTCGGAGACCGACCCGAGTCCCAGAACCGTGCGGCCACCACGAATCCGCACTGTAGAAGAAGACAAACCTGTATATACACTAGACACAAACTTCCGGAGCTCCACGCGGACTTCCTGGATCGGCGCATCCCTGGCGTGTGGAGCGCGCGAGGGGCGGCGCCGCCAGGGGGGCCCGCCGCGGATCCGAGGCTCACAGCGCGGGGTGGTCGCCACCTGCTCGGGCCCCCCCCAGCTGTCCGCCCCCTAGCGCTGCCCTCGAGAAGCCCCTCGGCCCGACCGGCGGGGCCGCTGGCCCCCGCCCCCGAGGGCGCCGGCCCAGCCTTGCGCACGGCCTGCTTCTTCCTGCGGGCCTGGCGCTGCACCTGCGGCCGCCGCCGTCGTCGTCGCCGTGGTCGTCGTCGTCGTCGTCGTCGTTGCCGTCGTCGCCGTCGTCGTCGTCGTCGTCGTCGTCGTCGTCGTCGTCTCGTCGTCGTCGTCGTCGTCTCGTCTCCAGGCATCCAACGGATTTACAAAAATCAAGGCGGAGGTTTTTCGCCCGATCCCGAGCTGTTCTCGACGACCCAGGGGCCTGGCAGGGGCCCCCAATGGCCGCAAATGGTAAACACCTGCCGTTGTGTTTGTTTGTTTGTTTGTTTGTTTGGTTGTTTTTTTTGGCACGAGGGACACGACGACGACGGACGAACGAATGCAGCGACGCGAGAGGAGGAGGGGAGGAGGAGGAGGAAAACGCGGAGTAGGATGAGAGGATGACAGGCTAGGCGAGCTCGCGCCTCAACTGATATCCTATCCCTCCCTCGCATCCCTTCCCATGGCGCTGATTTTTCTCTATCCGCGGACGCGCGTCATAGCCAACCTGCGGCTCCCACAGAGAGACCACGTCGTGTTACACGCAATCGAAAAAAAACAGAGCTGCACGGGTGGGTAAGCAGGAGGATGACCGGAAAGAAAATGATGCGAACGAGCAACAGCAGCATGAACTAAAGCGGACGGATCGGGAGGAAAAGGATGACCATGGGAAGGTGGGGGAGGGGATTTGAGGGGGGCGACAATGATGAAGAACGGCTCAGATTCAGAGAAGTGGCCCACGCTTGGTCGAGACAAATAGCAGCAATAGAAGCTGGAGTTGAAGGAGCGGGAGCAACAGGATGACCAGGGGAAGGCGGAGGGGAATTGAGGGGTGACCACAATGAAGCGAAGCAAGACTCGGATCCATGAAAATGGCCCGCGGTGGGGCGAGAGCGCCATTCTGAACGACGGGAGCAAAGCGCCGATCCGGAAATGAGGCCCACGCTGCAGCGGGAACACCACTTTGAAACACCGGAAACACTCGGATTGTCAAACGCCATAAGATAATGCATTGTTTGTGATCGTTTATACGGTAAAAAAGCAGCATGCGGAGGGGGCGGGACACCTCCTGGACAACTTCAGGGGAGGAGGGAGACTAGTATTCAGATTGATTCATTGTTGAAGGGGAGGGATGAGGATGGGGAAGAAGAGGGAAATGTAGGAGGGGAAGGAGGAGGGAGGGAGGCAGGGAGGGAGGAGGAGGAGGAAGAGGAGGAAGACCCGTTTAAACCCAAGACTTTTCAAAGATGTTGTAATAAACCCTCCCTCCAAGTTCCCTCGTCATAGGCCCCATACAACAATTAATTTTCACTGAAGGAAGTACCCCGTTGGGAAACAACCGTTTGAATATCGTGCACTGTGCCAGAACACAGTTCCTGGGACGCCAGCGCCGCGAATCACAGCTACTGTTGCGCCTTGGCGATCTGGAATCTTGCCAGAACGCCATTCCTGGGACTTCAGCAGCACGATTCAAAGTAACTGTTGCGCCCTGACGATCCGACATCGTGCCCAAACACGATTCCTGGGACGCTCGCCAAGAGACTTCTTGAACCGTTATTCAAACGAATGTGCGCGACGCTCAAGCGAGAATCACATGTCGAAAAGAAAGCGCCGTCCATCAGTGCAGTTCTTACGAATCTGTCAGTCGAGTGTGCGAGGCGCTGAGGTGAGAACCACATTTTGAAAATGGCCCGCCTTCTATTCGTGCAGTTTTTGTTACTAGTTTTTACAAACGGATGCGCGCGGCGCTGAGGCGAGAACCTCATTTTGAAACTGGCCCACCCTCCAATCTTGAAGCTCTTACAACTTTTTCAAACGGATGTGCGCGACGCTCAAACGAGAACTACATTTTGGAAGCGACCGGATCTCCATCCGTGAAGTTTTTGCACATGTTGAAAGCGGATTTGCACGGCGCTAAGGCGAGAACAACATCTTGAAAACGACCCGCCCTCCATCCGTGAAGCTACTGCAAAATCTGAGCTTCAAGGCTATAGATGGTGAGGAAGTCTCAGGCGAAACGCCTAGCCCGCCCTTTCGACCAGCCCCAGGGCGCGACAGGGAGGAGTTATCTAGATAGACATGGAGGAATTATTTTTAAGGGAAACAAGCGGGGAGGAGGGGGAGGAGGGAGGAGTGAGGAGCCAGAAGAGAAGAAGGAGGTTTTCGTTTGCCGACGGGCTTCGCGCGTGCGCACTCTTTGATCTTTTGGCGATTCACTGAAGCTGAGACGCGCGCGCGAAGAAAATAGCGCACTCGAGAGGGCACGGGGAACGGGCAGGGCACAAAAAGGTGGGTCGGCCCCCAGCCAGGAGCCCCTGGAGGATGGAAGGGGAAAGGGACCGGAAGCGAATCACCCGCCCAGCAGCTCTCTTCCAGGGGCGGCCCTCGACGCCGTGGCCGCGTGTTGTGCGAGTCGGCGCGCCTCCCTGCGGGCGCGGGCGGACTCGCGATTGGCCCGAACCCGGGCGCGGGCGCCCTCTGAGGGGGGGAGGGGGCGGAGGAGGAGGAAGAGGAGGCGTCGGCGGAGGTGAAGGGGGGGAGGGCGAGGGGAACCCCGATGGGTCTACAAAGTCCCCAGCCTCGGTGCACATTAAGTTAATGCTCGCCTGCTCCTCAGTCGCCGCAGCTGTGAGGCTAGCGTCTGTGGGGTCTGGCTGATGCTCCCCAGAGGTCTGCACATTCTGCTCGACAGGAGGAGACACGGATTCGTCCTGTGACGTGTGATACCTGTGATGCTCGGGGTCTGTCCAACGAAGTCTCGAACTACAAACGAAATCTGGGACAGCCTGGAAACAGGCATCAACAACATCGGACCAAGTAGAGTGCCACGAGGCTCTGTCTGAACTCCTCTGGGTCCGAAACAAAAACGGAGTCCCTCCCTTCATTGGATTGTAGTGGCGCAACAAGATGTGTGAGACTGCCTAAGGTGGCATCGTCTGTGGCTCCGGAAAGCCCGTCAGAATATGTTTTCCTGGCGGCTGTCTTGGACTGGGCCTTTCGTTTAGCTCAGCAAAGCACAGTGAACGCATACGCCAGGAGAGCACCTCCCTTGGCCTGGAGTAGAAAGGGTGGAGGGGAGGGACGGCATACGGAGGTCGAGAAGGCGGGGCGGGGCCCCCCCGACCGTAGAACAATCGGTCGTGGGCGGGAGGTGTTCGCACTGGTCAATGTCGAAGGCGCACGAGTGAGGACTTCGAGCCAACACAACAAAGGGGTTCCCAACGGATGGTACGAGGGCTCCTTGGATCCAAACAACTGGCCGAGGGTGCTTATCCACACTATCGTGCCAGAAAGCCTGTGAGCGGCGAGAAACCTGGACAAAGCGTGCGACTGCTGGACTTCAACCAACAACTGGAAACTCTGTCTGGCCGTACACCACGGGATTCCCCAGAAGTGCTCGCTAGTCCTGAAAGGTGGGGGGGCATCGTGGCACCGAGCAGCACTCCACGTTTCGCACGCCCCCCGCCCCCTGTGTTGAAAACTCTTCTGGGAACAACGTGTCCTACCCATTCTTGAATGACCTTTTGCTGGGTGAACTCGTCCCGGGTGTCATCTATAGCTATATTCACAGACAGGCAAACCACAACACAGGAGGAAGCGGGTCATGCAACATCAAAATGCTATTGGATGTCCTCAGAGCGCCCCATCCGGGAGAAAATGCTTAACACGCAAATCTCAGGCCGTCTGACCCTGTAGGGTAAGGCCTCGGCCGCGATCGCAGAACAGTCCTGGGGCCGAAAGGGCCAAACTCTGTCGTCCTGAAGGGGTGGCTCCTGGGCAGCATTAAGTGTAAACGCGTAGTTCAACTCGATCAAGATCACTCGGACATCAGTTTCGGGAAGGGAGGCAATCTTAATCTCGAACTGGGTGCGAGGTCCCCATTGTCGGAAAGCTAGATATGGGGGCTGCCATCGTCCTTTCCGTGCGGCTCTCTGTTCTGCTGCTTGTGCAACGTCGCCTTCGTCAAGCACCTCACATACGGCTGCTTCAGTAGCTCGAGGTTGTGCCCGCAGCGCCACTGCACATCTCCGAGCGTCGTAAGCACTGTGCTCGGTAAGCACCCTGCGTCGTGCGAGCTGCATGTCGCAAATCGTGCATTTGGTAGTGGGCCACAACACCAAACGTATATGATAAATGAAAGGCCGACTCAGGTTAACGATGTGCTGCTTGATATTCCTGGTCGTGGCCGCTGTCGTTTGACACTACATACATGTATGCGTAGGGGCTTCACCAGCTTCCTGAGTCCGAGGGGGGTGTTCAAGATGGTGTCCTAGTGTGGGAGCCCCAGCCGAGACATGTCCCTTTCGGCCATGTCGGGCGCAGCAATACGAGCACCGTAGGCCACCTGAGAGGCCACAGCAGAGTGGAGACTATTTGTTTTCACTCAAGGGCTGATTTCTGGACCAAGATTTCCCAAACGTTGACATCCTCCGAAGGCTTTGGGGTACTGTTTCAACCAAGCATGATGCTGGCGAAGCCATTCGAATTCCTCCGAAACCTGGTGCATCCAAGTCCCATGGCCTTCCTGAAAACATAACCTAGCCAGTCCCAATCTGTGTGGTGACGCAACGTGAAGCAGCCGACCAAAGAGTCGTAGCCCATGAGCTCTCAACATCGTGCGAACATCTGGTTTCTTGGCCTGCACCAAGATGTGAGCATTGGGAACGGCATGCTCGTCCGTTCTATGTTTGTGAAATTAACATGGCATCGTCGAAAAATGAAATATCCATGGAATGCCCGAAGTACGTGTCGTCCTCGCTCGTCTCTAGGCTGCAAGTTCCGTGCTCATAGATGGGGAAACGGACTTCGATATCAAACTCCAGCAACCTGGCCTGAACGAATTTCATGATGGCGCCCATAGCGTAATTGAAAACAACGCCTCCTCAGTGCTGTCCAGGCCCGGACCCCAGTTTCAGAAAACATAATGGTTTGCCCCCCCCCCCCCCCCGGTAAGGTACCTCAGCTCTGGTCGTAGGCGCCAGAGACCTGGGCCTTCATACCGCGGGTGATTCCTGGAGCATTGCGATATATATATATATATATATATTTATACATAGATGTATACATATATACATATATACATGTATATATCTACACGTGTAACCATGTATACATAGCATAGGCATACACATACACACATGTCATACACACATACACATACACATATGCATAGGACCCTGCTGACGTATGTATTCTGCAAGTTCTGCTACTGCTTCTGCTCGAGACCTGCTTTGTGGAGGACGTACGCGAGAGCGTCCTCCAATCCTGCAGTGCGAAAAACCAGCTCGCGGACAGACTTGTGGAATGCCTGGACAGCGTCGAAGGGTAATCACATCGCTGGTACTTTTCGCGACGTCGCCAGCTGCTGGAAAAACAACTGACTTCAAGGCCTCCTAGGTCGACGCCGAGCCCAACGATGACCCCATATTGTCTCAGGCCCACATCGGCCCGCATGTGAGGACTGACACCTTCCCGACTCATGGCTCTGGAGCGTCATATTTCCCAACCTTATCTGCGATACGAAGCTCGGTCGCCTGGATCTCCTTCCCTGAACAGCGCCCAACAGGAAGGAGGAGTGAGGAAGGAGGACAGAAGGAGGGAGGGAAGGAGGGAGGGAGGGCGGGAAGGATGGAGGGAGGGAGGGAGGGAGAAGGAGAAGGGGGATGAGGAGAAGGAGAAGGAGCAGGAGGGGGAGGAGTAGGGGGAGTAGGAGTAGGAGTAAGAGTCAAGCTAGCCAGCTCGAGCGAGTCAAGCATGGCATGCCCAGTCCCACCCGCCCTCCCACAACATAAGAAGCAAAGCTGGCACAACTGGGGGCCGAAGTCACACCGGCCAGCCGGTTTGGTACAGCTGATGCGGCCGCGATGGCGGTTGCCGACGGGAACTGGCGAGCGCGTGTTGAATGCCGCGCACGCATTGCCAGACGAGTCGAGAATGGCCCGGTACACCGCAGGAAGCCAGAGGTGGCCGGAGGAAGCCCGACGGTCTGACAGGACACCCCAAAGCATTTTTGTGAAAAAGCATTGGGTTTTTGATGTTTTTATGTTGAAATGCTTGCAAAAACACGGTGTTCGGTAGGATTCTGACATGAACGCGCGAGTGTGCTCTTTGTAATATTTTTTGCACAGGATTCGCGGCCTGGGTGCATGACAGAGCATCGCGAGTGCACCGCGCGATGACGTGAAATCGCTGGATTTGACCGAATTCTTAAGATTCCTATGGTTTTCCTATGATTTCAGCAAGAGAGCCCGGGCGGGAAATTTGTACAATTTTTGTGAAAAAGCATTGGGTTTTTGATGTTTTTATGTTGAAATGCTTGCAAACACACGGTGTTCGGTAGGATTCTGACATGAACGCGCGCGTGTGCTCTTTGTGGTATTTTTTGCAATGGATTATCGCCGTGGACGACAGGACGTCCATGTCGAGAGGAAAAAATAAGACAAATGTTGATGTTGTATTGTTTTTTACAGGTTAGGATGGGACCACCCGGATGCGCCCGCTATCTGCCGGCCTGAGGGGGGAGTAGGAGTATATTCTAATAAGGAATAAGGATAGGAGGAGGACGCGAGAGGAGTAGTAGTAGGAGGACGCGAGAGGAGTAGGAGGAGGAGGAGGAGAAGGAGGAGGGGGAGGGAGGATATTGAGGATCACGAGTCCTCCTCCTCCTCCTCCTCCAATTGCTCATGCGAGGAGCCGTGGGGCCTTCTCCATGTGGACCTTGCGGGCCGCCTCCGAGCGTTGCAGGTCCTCGCCAGCGGCTCGGGGCGCGGCGTCCAATGGGCAGGGAGGTCGTCCATCCTTCTCCTCAGCCATCTTCCTCCTCCTTCTCCTTCCTATCTCCTCCTCCTCCTCCTCCTTACCTTCTGCTCCTCCTCCTCCTCCTCCTCGTCCTCCTTCTTTCTCCTCCTCCTCCTCCTCTCGCGTCGCTGCGTTTCTTCATCTGTCGTCGCCGTGTCTCTTGTGCCCCTGTGCGGGCGCGCGCGCGCAAGGCCAATCTATGATCCCGGATTTATCTCCCTACCTCCTCCTCCTCATCCTCCTCCTGGTTTGCGGCTCCTGCAGGAATATGTCGATGTACCCCAACCACTCGTGCGTGGCCAGATCCTGGGCGGCTGCTGAAGCTCTGGGGGGGCGGGAGGGAGGCATGCTAGCGAGGGAGGAAGAGGAGGGAGAAAAGGACGAGGGGAGCACGCCGTTCGAATAACTCAGCCGAAGAGACGGAGGTACGCAGGAAAATATGGTTGCGCACGCCGGGCAATTCCACAGCGCACCGCACGAGTTGGTCACCCAGCAAGCAGGCACAGGGCCAATTGAACAAGGACCGCCTCTAAAGCATCATCCCTTTGCCACGGAGGCCGCCTCTTGAGTCATCCCACGGTCCTGCGGAGGAAAAGGGGAAGGATGTGGAGGAGGAGAAGGACGAGGAGGGGGAGTATTATCATGGGCAGACGATGGAATACTCTGCATGGTCTGATACGCGTGGGGTGGGGGGCGGATGATCGCGTGGTGTGGTAAGACTGGGCCGTTCTGCGGCTGGGGGGGAGTTTCCGCGCGCGGGTGGGGTGGGGTGGTGGTGGGGGTGGCAGGGGCATGTCGGGCTAGGAGCCCGTGGAGCTCACTGTGGCCGTATCCCCCAAAGGGTTACTCTGGAACTCATCAGGACGTGCTCGCTGTCGGCGTTCAGGGCCGCATTCACTTCTGCCCCCCTGCTCTGCCAACCATGCCGTGATCGTCGCTGCTGCAGACGGTCGTCAAGCTGAAAAGGGCAAGGGAGAAATAATTTACATCACTATACATACATATATGTAGGTGTATATATATATAGAGATACAACTGAGGATGACGTGTCTGTAGCTACGTGCGCATGTGCAAACTAATACATACATACGACCATACACGCGTATCCATATTTACACACAATCATGCGTATATCTATATTCATGTATATGCAGATATAGAACGTAGCTCCCCGGAACCCCATCTTCACACCATGTACGCCCGAGAAATTCAAGCGAGTATGCTGGTGTAAATCCCGATGCAGATGCATACCGATGGGACCACCCTACGGGTGATAACGAGGTTGGAGGGGGGCGGGAAGGGAGAGGCGGCCGATTTGCGATGGCTCTGGGTTCTTCGGCTGTTTCTTCAGCTTTTCTATGGTCGCGCGCATCAGCCGACCTATCGATCGACCTACCTATCTACTTGTCAGTTTAGGACGACCATCTATTTCTCACTACCAATCTCACAATCGATATCACTATGGACGTCGTCATCATCATCATCATCATCATCATCATCATCATCATCATCATCGACATCACCATTAACATCATCATCATCATCATCATCATCATCATCATCATTATCATCATCAGCCTCATCATCATCAACGTCGTCATCATCATCATCACAATCATCATCACCATCATGGCCATCATCACCATCAGCATCGCACAATCGATCTCACATTCGGTCTCACTATCGATATCACAATCGATCTCACAATCGACGTCATCATCATCATGATCATCATCATCATCATCATCATCATCATGATCATCACCAACGACACCAATATCATCATCATCGCCATCACCAACATCATCATCATCACCATCATCATCATCATCATCACCATCATCACCATCATCATCATCACCATCATCATCATCATCATCATCATCATCATAATCATCCACGTCATCATCGGGACACCGACGGGACACCGAAGGGACACCAGCGGGACACCGGCGGGACACCGCGCGGCACCGGCCGCCCGGTCAAGGTTCTTTTGCCCCGGCCGCGCCTCAGCCACACGGGACACCAGCGGGACACCGGCGGGACACCGCGGGGCACCGGCGCCCGGTCAAGGTTCGTTTGCTCCGGCCGCGCCTCAGCCACAGGAGACTTTCTCTCGCCCGCCCACGCAGCTTCGCCTCGCCCGCACGGCACGCACGAACACGAAACCGAAATCGATTTCCCGGTAGGGGGGCTCTCCGTTCCACTTCGATCTCACCCCCCAACCTCCGATACACACATGTATATATATACACATGTGTAGATCTGTTTATACATATATATACTCCCTGTACACATGTATGTGTATATGTATATGTAAACGTACATGTATGTCTGTCTGTATGCATGTATATGGATGCATGCATATATGTAGGTATGTCTGTATGTATGTACGTACGCATGTACATACGTACATACGACGTCATGGATGTATGTGTTGTATATATACAGAGATCGGTATACACATATACGTGCATGTGTATACCAACGCACAAAGAGAGAGAGAGAGAGAGAGATACAGAGACAGAGGGAGAGAGAGGGAAATACATACATTCGTATACACACAGAGAGAGGCCGCGCGTGAGGGAGAAATAACGAGAGAGCGAGAGAGAGAAAGAGAGAGAGAGAGAGAGAGAGAGCGAGAGAGGGAGAGAGGGAGAGAGAGAGGGAGAGAGAGAACGAGAGAAAGAGAGAGAGAGAGAGAGAGAAACAGAAAACGCCAAACAGGTAGGCAGATAGAGGGCGGGCCGGGCTCCCCTGATTTGTTGCCCCTCTTCTCTCCATACCACGTCGCCAGCTCGGCGTACGCCTGGTTGACCTGCGTGCGCGCACGCGCGCACCAGTCAGGAGCGAGGGAGGGACGTCGAGAGAGGTGCTGGCAATCGTCCCCGCGCGCCCACGTGAAATCCCCCCACAACTTCCTGCCGCCGCTCTGAGCCTGTCCACTGCCCGTGTGCAAGACACAATCGGGACTGATTGCAGAACGCATCGATGAGGACACGAACCTTCTTCGAGGGCAAGCCGTGCTCCAAGCATGAAGAGGGCATGCTACGCGACGGACTGGACGCATGAGTACCCCGGTTCTTGCAGGGTCAACCTACTAATCAGACCCGACTGTGCTCTCCTGCCTCTCCGTATGCGTTGCTCAGGATGAACCCTGGCAGGTCTGTGGATCCACCCCGATAGGGGGGTAACCAATTCTTGTCATCTGGCCTTATTGAAGGACTGGGGCCCCACCAATAGGGGTTAACCAAGTATTACTTTTTCTCGCGGCACCCGCCGCGCAACAACGACGACGACAGCTACGACTACGATTGCGACTACGGCTTCGACATGTGCTACTATTTATGCCTGCTTGAGGAGCGCTCCCAGGATGGGGAGGGAGGGAGGGGAGGAGGAGGAGGAGGAGGAGGAGGAGGAGGAGGAGGAGGTTTTAGGACCAGTCCCAACAACCGCCTAGAGAAAAGGGGGGGGGGGACCAAAACTAGAGACCCTTGGCGGTTGCTCTGGGTCGCCCAACTTCGCGCATCGCGCGCCGCGATGCGCGCCGCGCCGTCATCTTCGCGCCCTCGCGCCACCCCTCTGAAGAAGGGCAGCTCTCCCTCCCAGCATGCGACGCGCGTGCGTGATCGTCTTCGCACCCATGGGGGTGAGCTTGACTGTGGGCCCCATGACTGGAATGATTCCATGGCCCTGCCGTGGGGTGGGGGGGGCCAGAAGTCGACGGTTCGAGGCAGCGCTTTGGAGGAAGGGGGCAGCAGCGCAAGTCCCAGCCTGTCAGACGGACATCGCAAAGAGGATTTGTCTCGTGACGGCGAGGGTGCTCAGGGTCGCCGACGGCAAGAGGAGCCAAGAACTGAAACGCACAGGACACGAGGTCATGTGTTCCTGATGAGCCTTGAGGAAACAAACGTGCGTGCGCACGTACTCCCTGCGTGCACTAACGATGCACGCTTTGTGAAATGACAAGTCCCCCCAGCCCGATCCCGTCAAACACCGCGTGGTGATTTACGTCATTGCTGCTTGCGGCGCCCGTTTGCCTGGGCCTGGTATTTCTCTGCTGCGCTCAAACTTTATCCGACCTGACCCGGCTCAGTCCCACTGAGCAACTCCTTGGTCTGTCTTGATGGCCCTGAGCTGTCTTCCAGTCATGGCATGCAATCGCCACCCAACTCCTCCTCCTTCTCCGCTAAGGGAAGATGCGTTACCTATCCAGCGGCCAGGGATTCACCGGAGCCTCGAGGCGATACTGAGCCCCGACCGCCCAGCTCACGGTACGAGCTACGCGTCGCTGCAGGTGGACAGACTGCGTCGCGCGGAGTAGGAGGAGCAAGAGCAGCAGCAAGAGCGTCTTCCCCCAATCAGGCTTCGCCTGAGGGGGCTTTCTGAATCCTTTGGTGCAATGCTGCGCAAGGAAAATGAAAGCGAACCAGCACGGAGCAAAACAGTGCACAGCAAATCAAACCAAAGAAGGCAAATGACACCCTTTCGGCAGAAGACCCTAGACAACTTCGCACCGTTACGCAATGGGAGCCCCGATGGGTCACCGATTTCGGGGGCCCAGCTCTCTCATTCGGTGTTCTGATGAATGTGTTCACCAGGCGTTCTCACAAATAAACTAGACGGACCTTTACAGACAAGCTGCTTAACAGGAACCAGTGTAATGCACATCGATGCGTCGCACCGCAAAGCACTGCACTGCACCACGCTTCAGTGGAGTCTACATTCTGGGACAATTTTTCATAGCGCCGTCACAGATGACAGCCAATTCCTTTTCGCTTGGCTTCGTCCTCACTTGAAAGCCCTCACTGGAGACGCGCTGGGCCAGGTACTTTAAACGGTGCAGTTGCACCGTAATGTACAGCGCTTCATCAGGCGCAAGAGCGCCACGCCCGCCTCCAAACAATCGCGGCCATCACCGCGAGAGCGTGCTCAGTCTGCAAGTCCAGTGCCTTCCTTCACGCGTGACCTGCCTCACCCAGCTTGGCGGCGTGCAGGCGGGGGTTACGCGAGGGGGGTGGGCTTCTAAGGCGGATGGGGGTTCCTTAGAAAGCAGGAGCCGTCTTAGAAGCGCCTCGGTGTTTCTGAGAAGGCCTCGTGGAAGTCAGAGGGGGTTTCTGAAAAGCTCTGTGGCTTTCCAGAAGCTCCCTTCCGCCTTCTTGGAAGGTCGCCCCCCTCGCGCCACCCCGATTGTGCGCGCCGCCAACTACGCAGTCTTCCCTTCCTGCACCTGTCATGCGCCGGTCTTGCCACAATCAAGGCGCCGCCCTCCCCTCCCACTCCCTGTTGGCGTGCGCGCCGTGTGCTGCAGAAAGCCGCACCGCGCAGCGAAGGCCTCCGTCACGGCGCGGTCGATCCCGGCCAGACGTTCCTCCGCAGCTTTCACTGTGTCGGGCGCCAGGGTGTGGAACACATCCTTGCGGCGGCCTGCTCATGCTCCTCCTCCAACTCCTCGTCCTTCTTCGCCACCCCCACTTAAACTCTAATCCTCCTCCTGCTTCTGCTCCTGCTCCTTCCTCCTCCTCTTCCTCGCCCTCCCCAGGTTCTTTTTCCTGCTCCTCCCCCCTCCGCCTTCTCCTCCTGTCCTGCTGCTGATCCCTTCGCACGTCCATGAGCATCACGTGACGTCTCACAAGTTCGGTGAGCCACATAAGCTCCTCCCCCAGCAACATTATCCAGCGGGAAAACCTTCGCGCAGATCCTCAGGATTAGTGATGAAGTAATCAATTCAACATAAGCAGAAACCTTTGGAGGTCCGCGCGGATTTCCTGGACCGTCGCTGGACCCCCCTCCCTGGCGCGCGGAGCGCGCCAGGGGCGGTGCTGGAGGCGCCGCCTGGTGGGTACAGCGCCGATCCGAGACATCCGAGCGGACCTCCAGAAGTCCCGACAAGCGAGTTCCACTGCTCGCAAAATAACTACTCGCAAATTGCCTGTATCCGCCGCGGGGGATTTAGGATACATGATGTCGATGCACACATGTGCTTTTCGGAAGTTTGCGAGTAGGCACTTTGCGAATAGTGGAATGCGCCCGGTGAAAGTCTGTGCGTATGATGTTTTTTTTTCTCGTTTGGCATGAGCGGTCGAGAGCTCTAAAGGCCGGCCCACATGCGACTGCACAGCAGCCTGCCGCCGCCGACGGCGCGCACGTGCGACTGGCGGACATCCTCCAGGCGCGCGCAGCAGGCCGAGATCATGGTGCGCCTGATCTCGTCTGTAAGTCGAAACCAGAACGACGACACACCTGGGTGAGGATCAAGCGAGAGTGTCTGAGGTGGGCATTCCTGAACGCTCGGTAACGGAATTATCCTCGTCCTAGCCCCGTCCGGGTCTGGCCAGGATGCCCAGCACGCGCTCCACACCAACCTGGCCTTGCATGGGGAAGCAGGTCCTGGACCCTGGGGCCTTCCCCCAGGACGAGATCTTCATCCTGAGTCGTTTTCTTGCAGTCCTTGGGCTTGTGGAGTGCCCCGAGATCCCGAAAACGGCGAAAACCCTCAGGACCCGTTTCCCTCGGGACCCGTTTCCCCCTATGGCGACCGGCCTGACCGGGTCGGATGATAGGGGGGGGGGGCTGCATACAACAAGCGCCTGCGGAGGGACGGGTCCTGCCACCTTTGGCGGCCCCTGGGCTCTCCAGGCTGCTCCTCCGCTGGCCCTCGGCTGGTCCACAGCGACCCAGAGCGCAGCCAAGCGTCGGCTCGGGGATTCTCCCGTGCCAGCCCGCAAGATTCGCAGGGGGGAGCCCAGCAGGAGGAGGAGGAGGGGGAGGAGGGGGAGGAGGAGGGGGAGGAGGAGGGGGAGAAGAAAACAACGAACAAACGCAGACACGGGGCCACGGCATGCTCGGGTCGTGACGACCCTGGCGCTTGCTTCGGACACCGCGTGTTCAGCCGTGAACGATCGGCAACACTTCGATCGCCAGATCGTTCACCACAGGTCAGTTCTGGGCCACCAGCGGCGCTTGACCTTCAACGCCCGCGCTGGGGTCGCCGCGGCGTCGGCACGATGCGAACCTACTGTTAAGTCGGGCGTGTCCCCCTATAGAGGGATTTTCGCCGAAACATAGAAAATACACCAAAAATACTCCAAAATGATCAAACCATGCTCAAGAAATAGTCCCCAGACTATTTTTTGTCTATTTTTGAACATTCCTGTAGAGGGACAAGCCCGACTTCAACGTACTGCGTTTAAGTGAGAAAGTCAATTATAGTGGTGGGAAGAATGGGGTGGGAAGATACTAGGCACGACCGTGCAATAAGCCCACTCAACATACGAGATGATACGAATGATCTGCTCATTTCTCCCAGCACCGTCCTCTCAACCCGATCGTTGTCTTTCTGGCAAAAGGGGCCTAGCGGCTCAGCTCACGCAGCCAGTCTTTCTCGCGCCGTCTGGCGCCGGAGGCGGACACGCATCGAGAGAAGACCCCGGCGGCGGGGCGGGAGCCAGCTGCACGCAACAAGTTCCGACCCCAAACCCTTTCTAGAAGAAGAACACGGAACATACATAACCTTTGCAAGGGCGCCTAATGTTCGCGCTTCCGGCTGCGCGAAGCGCGAATAACTTGGCGCTCTCGCGCCGCCCCCAAGGGAGAAGAGAGGAATGGAGAAGTAGCACGGAATGCACACATCATGCGATAGTAAAAAAGCTACCATCACCAGAGCTCCATAGGATTCCGTTCCCAAAGGCCACCCCCCCCCGAGCTGGTGGTGGTGGTTCTGTCTCCCCTGATGCACACAACCTTTCGGAGGCCTGCGCGGCATTGTTGGATCGGCGCTGGGCACCCCTGGCGGCGCCTCCGGCGCCGACCCAAGAAATCCGCGCGGCATTCCGAAGACTGATGTCGATGCGAATTTTTGATCCTCGACCCTTCCCGAGGAACAACTTTTCATCCTGAATCGTTTTTTGAGGGTACCGCGGCTCAGCGAGGGCCCCCCGAAGCCGAATATGCCCAACAGCTACCCGTCACAGTTTACACGACGCCAGGGGATCTGGCCCCCCGTTTCGTGGCGAATCCTATGGCGACGGGGGCCTCCAAGAAGCCCCCAGAAGGGGAAAACGAGGCAAGTGTAGCGGCTTCGGTACCTCTTCAATCGCCATTGTGGCTCAAGTGCGCCGGGGACCAATGCGAACTCCCCCGCCAAACACCCCTATCGGCCACCAGCCAGTCGTATACGAAAACTCAGACTCAAGTGTTTCCCATTCTCGACCCCGGCCCAAATTGGCCTCCGTGGCAAGCGCAGCGTGCCGCTCGCGTGAACTTCCACGCATGTCTATTATGTGATTGTCGCCACACTGTTTGTGAGATTGCCCAGTGTCGCCCCAGCAACGGCGACAGTTCGGCAACGGCCAGTATGTTTGGACACCAACTTGTCCAGGCAACTCTCTTACCTGGCTCCTCGTACGAACAAAATACGACTCCATGCGATCCCAATTTGAACCATGGCGCAAACACGGGGGTGATGATCGCCTCATTTTTGATGGGGGGGGGATCGCAGATCTAGGGGCTGAGAACTAGAAGGGAGTGGTACCATGGGAGGTCTTCTAGATCATGATTTGTCCCACAAGCGGTGCACCATAACCCTGACTACGCACAGGTTGCACCATCCACCATACACATGGGCTGCACCATAGACATCGGTTGCACCATACGCTATATAGGTTGCACCGTGCAAATATTTCACCGCATATACAGCACGTCGAGAGTGCAGGAACCCGCTGTTCAGGGTCCATGCTGGCAAACATGCAACATATTCGCAATGGTGAGGCTGAGGCCCAATACACGACGCAGGCACGAGGGACCGATTAGAGCCCAAGGCCTTTGAGGGCACGGAGTCATGTGCCACTGAGCGGAGGGAGGCCGGGCCGAACGCAGCGGCCAGCTGGTTGTGCAGAGGCTCGCCTTTCTTTCCCCGACCGCGCCGACAGCTGCAGGCCCACGAGGGCACAGCGCGTGCGCGCGCAGCCGAGTCCGTCGGCGCCGCCCAGCGCGAGCTCGCAGGAGGCGAAGTCCCGAGGCCCCGTGGCCGCCCCGCCACTCGCCCCCTCGGCCCTGGCGCCGCGGGCCCGCGCCGGCGCGGCCAGCAGCGCCAGGGCGTGCACCAGCGGCTCGCAGAGGCGCCGCCACGGCAGCTGCGGGCGCCGCGGCGGCGCCCCGCCCGAGGGCTGGTGCCCCAGGAGGCTGCTCGTGTCGCAGACGACGTCCGCCTGCGCTTGCCGCTCGCCCGCGCCGCCGGCCGCCAGGAGGTAGCCCTGGACGCGCGCGCGCAGCTCTGCCAGCGAGGTGGCGGCCGCCACGGCGCCGCCAGCCTGCTCGCAGGCGAGAGCGGGCGGGAAGAACGCCACCGCGCTCAGGCGCAGGCGCTCCCTCGCCGCCCGCGAGAGCAACAGCAGCGCCTGGAGCCACCGGCGAGCGCCCGCGCAGGCGCTCGAGACCACAGTGAGCGCGACCGCGTTGGGGGGGAAGCCCTCTCGGCGCGCCTCCGCGAGCAGGGCCACGGCGACGTCCCACCTCTGGGCGGCCTCGCAGGCGCCCAGCGACGCGTTGTAGGCCACGGCGTCGGGGCCCGCCCCCCGCCGCCGGCACTCGGCCAGCAGCACCAGCGCCTCCTCCCACCGCTGGCTGCCGCCGCAGGCAGCGATCGCAGCGTTGTACGACACCACGTCTGGCGGCAACGACCGCAGCCTCGCCTCCGCCAACTGCGCCAGGGCCAGCTGCCACAAGTGCCCTTTGGCACACGCGCCGATCGCGGCGTTGTAGGCGACCAGGTCCAAGCGGAGCCCCGCGGCCCGCGCCTTGCCCAGCAGCGCCACGGCCTGCGGCGCACGCTGCCCTTGCTCGTAGGCCCCCACCGCAGCGCTGGACGCGACCACATCGGCGCGGACGCGGCCCGCTCGCATCCGGGACAAGGCCCTCAGACCAAGCTCCCACCGACGGCCCTTGTCGCAGGCGCCGATGACCGCGGCGTAAGTTACGGCGTCGGGCGCCAACCTGTCCGACCGCATTGCCCGGAGCAAGCTGATGACCTGGGCCCACTGGTTGCTCCTCTCGTAGGCCGTAGCCATCGTGTTGTACACGACCAAATCTGGCTGGACGGCCGCCGGCCCCATCTCCGCGAAGAGGCGGAGCGCAAACCGCAACTGCTGCGCCCTCGAGCAAGCACCGATCACAGCGCTGCAGCTTACCGCGTCGCAGCCCAAACCGCTCAGACGCAGCGCCCAGAAGGCAGCCACGGCGCGCTCCCACTGCTGCCCGCGGTCGTAAGCACTGATCAACACATTGAATGTGATGATGTTGGGGCGCAGCCCACGCTGTCGCAACCCCTCCAGCAACACCACAGCGCGCTGCCACTGCTGACCTTTCTCGCAGGCGCTGATGCAAGCAGTGTACGTGATGGCGTCCGCAGCAACCGAG